CACATTTTTTCTATTTTACTGCAAAGAGCCACATCAAACACACAGTCACTGATACCGCTTGTTTCAGTTTTTTGTTTTCTGGAGACAAGATTTCAACCACGTCACTGATGCATTTTTGTGGCATTGGGATATTTTTTTTAAATCCTCTGGAGCAGAGAGAGGAGCTGTGGATTATTGTTATTGATTAATGCATCAGTGTTTCTTAGGGTCAAAAACACTAAACTCACAACTTAAAATGAAAGTGTTTAGTTTATTTAATAAAAGAGCACATGTTCAATGTTTAAAGTGACAGTAGTTATAGATTATTTGCAATTTGGTGCTATGTATATATTAAAACAAATAAATAATTATATATATTTTTTAAACACCTTGAATTTCAGGGGGGGGCACGGGGCTCCGTTGGCGGGGCGCAGCGCCCCTCCAAGACAATGGTAGGGGAAACACTGGATAGTGTTTAATCAACGATAGGTTTCCCCCCCCTCAAAGGTGATTGGTTCACTGCATCACAGGTATTATTGTGATTGGCTCTTGGGCCACATCAAAATTAGACGCGCTGTCATCCTCTCATACTGACACCTGACACCACACATACACACGTAGGGAGAGCCGGGACGAAAGTAACACGGGACGAAAGTAACGGAGCGATTTTATCCGAGCCCAAACAACTTTGACCGGCCAAATTACGTCAGAATGATCAGCATTCAATACTTAACAGACCTACTAAATATCAGGTTTAACTGTCAGGAGTAGCTAGCTAGTGTTGTCACGATACCAACATTTTGGTTTCGATACCAAGTCAAGAATTGCGATTCCGATTATTTTTCGATACTTTTCTTAAAAAAAGGGAAACAGTCTTAAATGTAATTATTGTGCTTTATTTCACACCAGAACCATAACACAAACTTTTAAACAATGAGAACAATAAATAAAAGAAATGACAAGAATTCGTATTAAATCAAATTAATACATTTCTTACAGACAGGCCTCGTGGTGTCCGTAGGCTTGCTCTCACTGTCAGAGATATAGCTAAAATACTTCCAAATGTCACTTCTGGCGTCTTTTTTGTCAACAAGCCGAGGCGCAGCGGCAGCTGCACTCCCACTTGCAGCCATGCTTCTCGTTTTCTCACGTGCTCTGGCAGCTAGCGCGTGCACGAGAGAGGGGAGGCACTTGTACGTGCTTGAGAGGGGAGGGACTGCAGGCACGGCTGCAGTGCAGGGAGTGGAAGCAGAGCGCTGAACACACACGGCTCTTATTAAACGGCGCTTTCTCACCGGAGTACTTTCCCCCGTCATTCTTAAAGTACCGATACTAATGAAACGGAGGAACGTTTTTAACGGCAGGGTATCGCGGTACCTTTCAAGTATCGGTACACCGTGCAACACTAGTCAGGAGTCAGTGTCTCTCCCCCAAACTCACACATATACAATTCGATATGAACTGAAGAGCCGCATGAAACTAGGCAAAGAGCCGCATGCGGCTCGAGAGCCGCGGTTTGGCCACCCCTGCCCTAGCCCATAGGGAACGTAATAGTAATATTGCTTTTTCTTCAGTACATTTGATTGTTTTGTATTTTACTAAAGTGATCTATTAGCCTTTCAAGAACGCAGATGTATTTATTTGTAAGGTTTTTCCTAATACGACATTCTCTAAACATCAGGAGTGTTCTTAAAGCACACAGTTTCACTAGTGACTCCACTGATCAACAAAACTGCCTTTTGCAATCACTGCATATTCATTTATATATTATGGTCAGTGGCGGCGGGTCATTAGGGGCAGGTGGGGCACAGCCCCACCTAGTGTCAGAAGAAAGTATTACAAATAATGATTACAAAAAAATACTAAAAAATAAATAAAAAAACATATAAAATATATTTTAAGGTCATGTTTAATAATCTGATTCGTCTGTACATTTCTGTTTTAGTCTGTGTTCTTCTAATTAGTGTCTAGAGTGCCGTTTTGAGCTGTTTAGAGCCATGTGGGACAAAACCCGATCCTGCCCCTCCCTCTCACAGTCTAAGTGAACGGTGATTGTAAAAACTACACTGCGCATGCTCAGAGTATTTTTCTATTTAATGTGTGTGGCAAAAAAATAATGACCGTAGGGGCATAGTGCTCCCATCCCCACCATACGTCATCTCACATAATTCAGAATTGATTGGCTGTAAGTACTCACGTGTGCAGTGCTGCGAAACGTCACGTGTAGTTTGAAGAGGAGACGAGAGAGCAGCATATAGCTAACATCACCAGCGATTAAAAGAAGTAAAAAACTGAAAGAAAATGAATGAAGTTGACCATTTACTGGAGCACACATTTGAGACACTTAGTCTCGGAGAGAAACTGGAGGTAAAGCGCCTCGGTGCCCACCATCCACCGGATTTCCAAATGGTCCAGACTGCGGGCAAAGTTAAACGTGGGTTTAACGCTGAGTGGTTTGCTAAAAAGAAATGGCTAACGGCGAGCATCCAGAAGAATTCCCTCTTTTGCTTTCCTTGCCTGCTTTTTGGTGAAGATCAAGGTACTTGGTCGAGGACAGGTTACAAGGACTTAAAGCATCTTTCGGAGAGGACAATGAAGCATGAGAGCAGCAACAGTCATTTGGAAAATGCCGTAAAATTGGGATTACTTGGAAGGGTGAATGTTGCAGCTCAGATTGACAGCGCCTACAGACGCGGCATTGATTCTCATAATAGGAAGGTGGAATAAAACAGGTACGTGCTTGGTCGGATCATCACCTGTATTAAACTGTGTGGGAAATGTGAGACAGCACTGCGGGGCCACAACGAGTCGGCGGACTCTCTGAATCCAGGGATATTCAGGTCAATTTTCGAGAGAATGTGTGAGGGCGATTCCAGGCTTCAACGGCACTACGAAGCTCAGCTTGTTTTCAAAGGGACATCAAGCACCATACAGAATGAACTCTTGGACTGCATGTATGATGTGTACAGGGAGGAAATAGCCAAGCAAGTGGACAACATATCATTTGTTGCCGTTCAGGCCGACGAGACAACCGATGTCTCCTGTAAATCGCAAATGGTGATTGTGCTGCGATACATTATGCCTGACCTCACAGTTACAGAGCGTTTTTTGGAGTTTGTGGAAGTAAAGGACAAAACTGGTGTAGGTCTCTCTAACAGCATCAAGGCTGTTCTGGAACCCCTGAAGCTGAAAGAAAAGCTAATCGCTCAGACCTATGACGGGGCGGCCGTCATGAGCGGTAACGTGCGCGGGGTACAGACGGTGATGAAGGAGACGTACCCAAACGCTCAGTTTGTTCACTGCTACGCCCACCAACTGAACCTGACCCTGCAGCAGTTCAGCAAGGATGAGCATCCTGAAGGTGTTTTTTGCAGATCTAACTGCTTTTTCCACTTTTTTCTCCGGTGCTCCAAAACGTGTTGCAGCTCTTGCAGAGGCAACACAGAGACGCATCCCACGGCCACCGGCTGTGAGATGGAACTTTAAAAGCAGAACTGTGAACGCGGTTTGGGAGACCCGAGATGCACTACTTCAGTGTATGAAGCATATACGCGCACAACCAGGATGGGATGCGGTCACCATAAGTGAGGCATACGGCCTGTCAAAGAAACTGCGGGACCGAGCATTTATGCAGCTCCTGGAGTTTTTTTCGTTGCTTATACCAGAAGTGGATGTTCTATACAACACTCTGCAAAAACGAAGCATCGATGCACCTGGGATCAACAGCGCGCTCGGCCGTTTCAAGGAAAATGTTCAGAAAATGAGGCAGAAAACTGATGCATTGGCCGCCACTGCTCATGATGGAACAGACGAGCCAGGCCGACGAGTCAGCAGCACAGCGCCGGTGATGAAGGAGGCTTGTGACACAGTCATCTCACAGGTGGAACAGAGGTTCTCACAGTGACCATTTGATCGCTGCAAAGCTTGTTGACAGCTCATTCTTCCCACAGCATGTCCTGTCATTTCCTACACCTGAGCTTGACTGCGCCGTGAAACTGTGGCCTGCGTTGGGAAACAAGGAGAAGTTGAAGTCTGAGCTGACCACGCTCTACCGCCACAGTGAGCTTCACACTGGAAACACTGCCCTGTCTCTGTTGAAATCCATTCACGAGAACAACTTGGAGGAAACGTTTGCTGAGACTGTTATTTTGGTCAAAATAATAGTGACAACTCCGATGACGACATCCGAGTCAGAGAGGAACTTTTCCACCCTCAAAAGGATAAAGACTTTCACTCGCAACACCATGGGACAGCCGCGACTTAACGCATTGGCCATGCTTTCAATTGAAAGCCAGTTGATCCAGAAACTACAGGACTTCATCCCCAAAGTGATAGACACATTCTGTCAGAGGAAGGACCGCCGTGCCGCTTTTCTTTTCAAGTGAGCCTTCAGCTTTGGTAAGTTCATTTATGTCATATATTTTGTTGATCTTCTGTGTTTTGCCTCTGCTGGATCGATTGATATTGTGACCTCGATGATGAGTGTCTGTGTTTTCCTTATATTTACAGTCTATGGTGTTTTAATGCTAAAGCATTACGGTTGTTGTTATTGTTAAGAATTACTTTGTGATGGTGACCTTTACTCCATGTATGAAGGTGCATTACTATGACATCCCCACGCTGTGTACGTAAATGTATGCGCTCACAGTGTTGCTCCTGTGGTCTTCAGTATGTAATTTGACACTCCCCCTCTCTCTCTCCTCCCCCCCTCTCTCTGTCCCCCCCTCTCTCTCTCTCCTCCCTCTCTCTGTCCCCCCCCTCTCTCTCTCTCTCTCTCTCTCCCCCGACCTCTTTCTGCCCCCCCAGTTTTGTACACCTAGAAACGCCACTGATTATGGTATATTGATATCCACCCCCTGCTCTTTATTTTTTATAAATATTCATTACTTTATGTGCATCACTCTGCACAGTTTGGCTTGTTGCTCTAATCTTATCTGGTCAGCATCAGAGGGTAACCCCTCCAGAGCTCTGCTGCTGTCGATAACCACATTTTCACATAAACACTTTCAGTTCTCAGAAGAGAAATAAAGAAGCAGCCGGTGAGAGACTCTGACAGTCGAGAGCCAGAGACCGAGAGAGAAGCACGATGTCTGAATTCAGAAAGATCATAATGTCTTCATTCCTGATGCTGCTGCTCCACTTTACAGGTGAGGATGCAGAAAACACACTTTAAATAAAACAGCTCTAATATCACTAATGGTACTTTTACTACGTACTGTTCCTTTAACTGAGAATGATGAGTTGTGTTTGTAACGTGGTGCCTTTAGTGACCTCTCGGAAACTGACAGTTACATTTGCAATATTTTGTATCTACAATTATCATCACACTCTATGAATACTAAAGGTATATATTTTTCTGATTTTTACCCCAACAGCTGCAGAAGAGAAACGTTACTTCCGCATTGTCAGAGTTGGAGATGAAGTCACTTTGACTTTTGAAAATGTGATACATGATAAGGATAAGTGTGAGAATACTACCTGGTACTTCTTTTATTCAAGAATCTCAGAAGCAGTGACGCTGTTTGAATACGGACAGATTCACAAAGATTTAGCCAAAGCTAAATCAGACAGACTGAGAGTTGAAAAAAACTGTTCTCTGGTTATAAAGAATGTCACAGAGGATGCTGGGCGTTACATCTGCAGACAGTTCAGATCGGGACAACAAGTTTCAGGCTCTGAGGTTTATCTGTCTGTTGTTACCAGTGAGTATTTACATCATAATATTTCCAAACATTCTTGTTAAAACAATACACTGAAACATTACAATAATTATGATTACAGTGATGAAGTTAATCTTAATCTTGTTGTCTTTCTCTCACAATTTCTCCATCTTCAGTGACTGAACATCAGGACAATGATGAGGTGACGTTACGTTGCTCTGTGAAGACATATGGAGACTGTAGACAGTCAGTGAAGTGGCTGCTTCAGGGTCAAGATGTGGTTAAAGATCACAGAGAGATAAACACATCACAGTCCCGCTGTTCTGCCTCTGTGACATTTCTGACCTCTCATTTTAGTAACACACCAAGGTTTGAGTTGTTTACTTGTGAAGTAACTTATAAGAACACGAGAGAAGTACACCTGTTTCCCTTCAGCCCTCAGTCCTCAGGTTGAGATGTTTAAGTTATTTAAAAAATCACTTTTTGTTATTTTCTGGAAGTTTCTAAATAAATGTTTATTAAGCTATTTTCATCTATTTAGGTGAGGATCCAAAACCAGGAACTTCTAATCTATCACCACCAACACCAACACCAACAACAACAACAACAACAACAACAACCACAGCAACAACAACTGAAACCAACAAAAACTCAGGTACGGTTTAATCAAATCAAGTTGTATTTATATAGCACATTTAAAAGCGATTTTTGTAACTTTTCGATAACTTATGCTGTGCGGCTAGCCTGCTCCGGAGCAGGCTAGCCGCACAGCATAAGTTACCATGGAGATCTAGCACGCTAAAAAGAGAACCAGCTTCGTAGTTTTCCCTGAAGTTAGCCGGCTAAGCGAAAATCCTGCTTCGTAGTACAGGCCTCATGTGTCATGCTCCGCTCTGACTAGAAGGCCAGAGAGAAGAAGTGTGTCTTTAGTGTAGATTTAAAAAACCCTAGTGTCTCGGCCGACCTCATATGGAGCGGCAGACTATTCAAAATAAATTGTTTATTAAGCTGTTTTCATCTATTTAGGTGAGGACCCAAAACCAGCAACTACTAATCTACCACCACCAACAACAACAACAACCACAGCAACAACAACTGAAACCAACAAAAACTCAGATACGGTTTAATCAAATCAAGTTGTATTTATATAGCACATTTAAAAGCGATTTTTGTAATCAATCAATCAATCAATCAATCAATGTTTATTTATATAGCCCAATATCACAAATGTTACATTTGTCTCAGTGGACTTTACAGTTTTTACAAAATATCAGTATGACAATACGACACCCTCTGTCCTTAGACCCTCACATCGTACAAGGAAAAACTTCCGAAGAAAACCCACAGTTTAAAGGGAAAAATGGGAGAAACCTCAGGGAGAGCAACAGAGGAGGGATCCCTCTCCCAGGACGGACAGACGTGCAATAGATGCCGTGTGTAAATTGAAAAGATAATACATTTGCAACATAGGTAGTCCAAATGTTTGGAAATGCATGTGTGTATAATAGGAAGATGAATCCACGAGGATATCCATCCAGGACCTATGATCCAGGACCACAGCCACGACTCAAGATCCAGGGCTCGCGATCCAGGACAGAGGAGCGCAGGATCATCCATGACTCCGGATCCCGGCGTATATAGACACCAAAAAGAAAGAAATTTGGGGAAGCTGGGTTAATCGGAACATGAGAGTACACAGGTATAGACAGAGAGAAGGAAGAAGTAAGATGTCCCCCGACAAACTAAGCCTATATCAGCAAACTAGGGGCTGAATCTAATCAGCCCTAACTATAAGCTTTATCAAAAAGGAAGGTCTTAAGCGCACTCTTAAAAACGGATAGGGTGTCTGCCGCCCGAACACAAACTGGAAGCTGATTCCACAAATGTGGAGCTTGATAAGAAAAGGCTCTGGCTCCCATTGTACTTTTAGAGACTCTAGGAACAACCAACAACCCTGCATTCTTGGAACGCAATGCCCTAGTAGGACAGTAGGGTATAATGAGTTCTTTAAGGTAAGATGGCGCCTGCCCATTAAGGGCTTTGTAGGCGAGAAGAATAATTTTAAATTCTATCCTGTGTTCTATAGGGAGCCAGTGTAAGGCAGCCAGAACAGGTGTAACTTTTCGATAACTTATGCTGAGCGGCTAGCCTGCTCCGGAGCAGGTTAGCCGCACAGCATAAGTTACCATGGAGATCTAGCCCGCTAAAAAGAGAACCAGCTTCGTAGTTTTCCCTGAAGTTAGCCGGCTAAGCGAAAATCCTGCTTCGTAGTACAGGCCTCATGTGTCATGCTCCGCTCTGACTAGAAGGCCAGAGAGAAGAAGTGTGTCTTTAGTGTAGATTTAAAAAACCCTAGTGTCTCGGCCGACCTCATATGGAGGGGCAGACTATTCAAAATAAATTGTTTATTAAGCTGTTTTCATCTATTTAGGTGAGGACCCAAAACCAGCAACTACTAATCTACCACCACCAACAACAACAACAACAACAACAACAACAACAACAACTGAAACCAACGAAAACTCAGGTAAGGTTTAAGTGATTTACTTGTGAAGTTTGGCAGAACCACCGCTGTTTCTCTTTAGTCTCAGGTGAGAATATGATGAGCTGTTTAAAATCATTCATTCTGATGCGTCACATCGTTATGTCGTGATGTGATTTACTCACTGTATGTTTGTTTTGTATACATTTACAGCATTTTGTTATTTCATTCATTAAGGTGATGATGCAGGGAAGGTGTCTACAATGTCAACCACACCTATTAAACCAACTTTGACAAAAGTGAAAACTGCATCTGAAAAAACAGGACAAGGCAGTAAACATCCAGGTAATGACAAAACAAAAACATTTAAAGTTAGAAAATACATGTTGTTGATTCAGAGTTTAAAGAGGAAGAGATAAAAGCCTCTGAGTATATGTAACTCTTCTAACTCCTCTCTTCCAGGTTGGTGGTGGTGGATCATCGTTGTGATCGTGGCTGTTGCAGCACTCGCAATAATCACTGTGGCTGTCATCAGACGGAAGAGGACTCAAGGTGAGGACATTCACACATTATACTTTATGAACAACAAGCTTTTGATAAACTTGGGTTTAACCAAAGTCTCATTCAATTTTTATTATTTGTAGGGACTGAAACGGAGACGGATGAGAACTTGGTGAGTTTAAACATTGATAAATAAAATGCTTTAAAACTGCATAATAAACATGTAAGGTTTTTCTTATCCACTGTTGATGTTAGACTTAACCTAAAAGTTCATTTGAATAGAACCAACAGTTCTGACTTACTTTGTACAGAAAGTAGGAATTTGTGCAACAGCAAAACTGATTGAGCAAAAAATACGAAATCATTACGAACAACATTCTTCGAAATGACCATAGAGTTGAAAGTTGAAAATAATTGCACATTTAATTAAAAAAATGTGTTTAGTTTTGCCATTGATTACATTGCATTGATGTTGAATATGATACAACCTACACAGCAACTAAAATGCAATGGAATTACACAGGTTTGAGAGCAGGTCAAAATAGCCTTTTATGTAGAATAGCAGTTTTATTGACATCTTCAGTGCGACAATAATATTAATAATTGTGGTGAAGTGAATTTTTGTTTTTAGGATGACTTTTAACATCTGTCCAGGGATTACAGACGAAAAATAGCCTGTTGGCTAACTCTGGCGCATTTACAGAAATGTCAATCAATGTGCACTGTCCCTGTCAAATAAATATATAAATAAATAAAAATAAAGTCTAGACATTTATGTTAAGTTAATTCATTTAGTTCAATCCTTTGTCTTTTGCCTTGTCATGTGAATTCCTGTTTTATTTTGTAGTAACATTTCCCTCTCGTTTCAGAGCCCTTCCTGCCCTTGTGCGGAAATGAATTTCAGCGCGCCATGTTGAAGGACATCTCATTTCTCTAAATGCACTTCGAGGACCGAGGATCGAGCATCGAGGAGGCTCTCTGGAGGAGCTATAACCGAGGATACACTGATGGGTACTCTGCGGATGTATTTCCGGCAACAGTGATGTTTAAAAGAGTCGTGACTAATGCGGGATAATATCCACATGTCTACCTACTTTATTAGATTTATGATTATAAAATTATAAAAGTGTGGATATTATCCGGCTGAACAAAACGTGCATTTATCGAACATCTTTCACAGACCTTATTTCGAGCTATTTCCAAAATCCTATGGAGAAATCCCATTGCTTTTTTGTCGAGAGGGAACCCATGCACAGCTTATTTCCGGGTTTTATGACGCATCATTCTATCGAGACCCTGGTTGCGTTCCAATAGTCCATTTAGCTTAGGAACCTTCCTAACGGAGTGAAATGACCCTGAAGTACGTCAGTGGCAGCCATGATAAGTGCCGTTCCAATTCTCTAAATGAAAGGAAAGGAGGTTTCACACTTCCTTTACAACCTCCTTTAGCTTAGGAACCACTGGACCTCCCTTGACGAAAGGAGAGGAGAAAATGCTGCCCCACAATGCATTGCAACCGCAGCATTTGCATACTCAACATTCGGCCGTTCACAGAAACAACCGATTATGACGGAGAAATTATATCATGAAAGTTACGGTGCTTATTAAGCATTTTAAAACGTATGTGGTAAGTTGCCAAAGTGCTTTGTTTTTAACGTTCATCGGTATTATAATCAAAGAGAGAAATATGAACGTTAGTTTTTACTGAAATGATCAAATAAAGTCAACATCTCAGTCTTTACTGAGCTGTGTGGGGTTTGTTCAACTTTTAAAAGATGGTTGAATGGTGATATACACAGTGATAGATGTTAAGGACTAACGTTTATAATAAATACATTTGTATTGATTTTAAGATATTTTCATACAATCATACGTATTGGGATCATTTGTATTAATGTGGACCGGAGGGAGAGGGTGACGAGCATAAGTTTCACTTTCCTTTTTTATTTCAATTCCAGCTTTGGTCATGAAGAATATGTTTCTCTGTTGTCCACGTTCATAAAGCATAAAGCAACAGCGTCAGAGCACGGTGCAGAGTCTCTAGATGAGTCCCTCGTTCTTATTAAACATCCATGTTGTAGTCCGCTGTATAGAAAACTGTAGTTTCCATAGTTTCCCCACAGCAGCAGACGCACATTCATGACGTCCGCTGGCGCATCATAAACACGTCGGATAGTGAAAGTGCATTCGGAATCTCTAAAGTACCGCGGTCCTTTTGAATTCTCCTATCCACTATCCACATTTTTAAACTATCCGACCGCAACCAGGGGTTGCGTTCGGATAATCCAAAAATCAGCTCCTAAATTCTAACCCTATCTCCTATTCCTTGACCTCTGAGTGAAACGTCACGGGGTTAAGGGATAGTGGATAGGAGAATTAAAAGGACTTAGGAGAAGAGACTGCGGTGCTTTAGAGAATCCGACTGCACTTTCACTATCCTACGTGTTTATGATGCGCCAGCGGACAACAGAGAAACATATTCTTCATGACCAAAGTTGGAATTTAAATAAAAAAGGAAAGTGAAACTTATGCTCGTCACCCTCTCCCTCCGGTCCACATTAATACAAATGATCCCAATACGTATGATTGTATGAACTATTAAAAGATCTTAAAATAAATACAAATGTATTTATTATAAACGTTAGTCCTTAACATCTATCACTGTGTATATCACCATTCAAACATCTTTTAAAAGTTGAACAAACCCCACACAGCTCAGTAAAGACTGTGAGATGTTGACTTTATTTGATCATTTCAGTAAAAACTAACGTTCATATTTCTCTTTTTGATTATAATACTGATGAACGTTCAAAACAAAGCACTTTGGCAACTTACCACATACGTTTTAAAATGCTTAATGAGCACCGTAACTTTCATGATATAATTTCTCCGTCATAATCGTTTGTGTCCCTGAACGGCCGACTGTTGTGTGACGCAAATGCTGCGGCTGCAATGCATTGTGGGGCAGCATTTTCTCCTCTCCTTTCGGTGAGGGAGGTCCAGTGGTTCCTAAGCTAAAGGAGGTTATAAAGGAAGTTTGAAACCTCCTTTCCTTTCATCTAGAGAATTCGAATGGCACTTATCATGGCTGCCACTGAGGGACTTCCGGGTCATTTCACTCCGTTAGGAAGGTTCCTGCTAAATGGACTATTCGACTGCAGCCCAGCTGTGAGGTCCGTGCAGAAAGCAGAGCAGTGTGTATAATATATATCACTCAGTATAACAGGCCTACATTACTCTCTTCATTTGTATGCTTTAGTTTAGTAGATATCTACAAACACTAATACCATTAGTGCTTCACATAATAAAATACACAACGGCTGTATCCTGATGTGTGTGTGTGTGTTTACTTTTAAAACTTGTAAATACAACTTTTGGCCCTTAATTTCATTTCCTCATTGTAGCGACCAGAGAGGGGGGGGGATATATCCAGTCTCTGATAGTGTTACGTTATTATGAGAGTGCTCTCATACTTGTTTGAATCTGAAATTGTATATATTTATATAAATATGTGTGTGTATATGTCCGCATCTGTAGCCTGTTATTGTCTCATTATACCGCACTGTCAATGAATTACAAGTAAATATATAAGTGGTCATGAACACATCTGTCCATCAGACAGAGGGCTGCTGTGCCTCCTGTCATCATTAATGGACGTCTCTTTAAAATGACCGCTCAGAGGAGAGGAGTTCTCATTTCTCTAACCGCCTGCTGCTTCCACTCCTCTCTCCTCGGTTCTCCTCCTCAGTCCTCCGCTCGCATCTCCTGTGGGCGGGACTAAGACACGAGGATAGGAGTCGAGGACAGGAGTCGAGGAGGGGAATTAGAGAAATGAGAGGCCCATAGTCTGCGTCTCCCTTGAGCTTTTACTAAATAAAGTCTCCACTTTACAGGTGAGGATGCAGAAAACACACTTTAAATAAGCTTTGATATCACTGATGGTACTTTACTACGTACTGTTCCTTTAACTGAGAATGATAAGTTGTGTTTTTAACGTGGTGACTTTAGTGAACTCGCCACTTTACCATCTACAATGATCATCATAACTGTATACACAGTTGTATTCATATTTATTCCCGTCTTTGTTTGTTTTAACAGCTACAGATGCTAAAGATTACTTCCGCATTGTCAGAGTTGGAGATGAAGTCACTTTGCTGTGATACATGATCAGGATAAGTGTGAAAGTACTGTCTGGTACTACTATTATTCAGACACACCAGTAATGACGCTCGTTGACCGCGGGCAAATTCAGAACAAAGCTAAATCAGACAGACTGAGAGTTATAGAGAAATGTTCTCAAGAAGGTCACAGAGGAGGATGCTGGTCGTTACACCTGCAGACAGTTCAGATCAGGACAACAAGGTCAAGACTCTGTGGTTTATCTGTCAGTTGTTTCCAGCGAGTATTTAGTTTTTTAAAGTGTGTTGTGAAAACAAAATACTGAAACAATACAACAATTATGATAACAGTGAAAAAGTTGTATTTTTGTTGTCTTTCTCACAATTTCTCCATCTTCAGTGACTGAACAGAAACATAATGGAAAGGTGACGTTACACTGCTCTGTGTCAAAGTATGGAGAGTGTAGAGACACAGCGAAGTGGCTGCTTCAGGGTCGAGATGTGGATACAGAAAACAGTGAGATTACGTCTCCCTGCTCTGCCTCTGTGACATTTCTGACTTCTCATTTTAGTTACTCACCAAGGTCTAAGTTTAAATGTAATGTAACTGATGATTACACGAGAGAAGTTCATCTGTTTCCCTACAGACCTCAGTCCTCAGGTGAGAACATGATGAGCTGTTTCAAGTTACTTTATACCATACTGAAAATTACGTACATTTCTGTTATTTTATGGAAGTTTTAGAATAAATACTTTGTTAAGTTGTGTTCTTTAAACACACACAGTGGCGTTTCTATATGTACAAAAGTGGTGGGGCACAAACAACTTAGATATCTATCTATATATAAGCTTCTGCAGTGAGGTTCATGGCTGGCACTCTTCAGGTTTACAAATATTATATTTTGACCTAAATCAAAATATAATATTATTTTCAAAAGCTTTTTTTGTCTGATGCTTCAATTAATTTTAAACAGACAGTTCAACAGAAGGATACCCAAAAAAAGTAATTGTATCATTTAAATATTGAATTGTTCTCTCTTCGTAAGATCCCATTTTCAATACAATTGTGGTCTAACCTTGACTTGAAGATGAAATCCATTTGCCTATCCTTCTGGACAAAAATCTCTATTACTTTTTTGTAAAAGTCCTCCCTATCTTCTTGTAGTTTCAAAAGTCTATCATAAATCTAATCGATAGATTTATGATTCAAAAATTATAAAAGTAGGATATTATCCGGCTGAACAAAACATGCATTTATCTAACAGGTTTGTTTCCCACAGATCTTATTTTGAGCTATTTTCTAAAATCCTATGGAGAAATATCATTGCTTTTTTGTGGAGGGAAGCCATGCGCAGTTTATTTCCAGGTTTTAGGACGCCTCACTGCAGCTCTCTCTCCTCCTCTTCATACACCACACTTTTCGCGGCACACGTACTTACAGCCAATCAGCTCTGAATGATGTGAGATGACGTATGGTGGGGATGGCAGCTCTATGCCCCTATGGTCATTATTTTTTGCCACACACATTAAATAGGAAAATACTCCGAGCATGCGCAGTGTAGTTTTTACAGTCACCGTTCACTTAGACAGGGAGAGGGAGGGGCAGGATCGGGTTTTGTCCCACATGGCTCTAAACAGCTCAATAGGCACACACTGTAGACACTAATTAGAAGAACACAGACTAAAACAGCAATGTACAGACGAATCAGATGATTAAACATGATCTTAAAATATATTTTATATATATTTTAATTAATTTTTTGCATTTTGTTGTAATCATTATTTTAATACTTTCTGCTGACACTAGGTGGGGCTGTGCTAATGACCAGTCGCCACTGAACACACACATTTCTTAATCTGCTCAGTTAAGAAAATAAAACCAGCAACGACCAAACCAACAACAACGACAGCAACAACAACAGCTAAAAACAACATTAAACCAGGGGGGTATACTACGAAGCAGGATTATCGCTTAGTGGCTAAATTCAGGGAAAACTCCGGCTTTCCGGTTCTACGAAGCTGGTTCTCTTTTTAGCAGGCTAGATCTCCATGGTAACTTATGCTTAGCGGTTAACCTGCTCCGGACCAGGTTAGGTTGCAGGCTAAGAGCTCAATTCAGTGAAAGCACTGCCTGCTGACCAATCAGAGCTCAGTGTGCGGAGTTTAAAGCGATCAAGTCATATTACAGGAGAAAGGAAATACAGAAAAGCTGCCGTCGCAGGAAAGACGGCCGGCAAAAATCACCGACTGT